GTTTTTGTTGCTGTTTTATTTTGTTTTGTTGGTTTGTTTTGCTCTGTCTTGGTTTTGTACAGATTATTATCTCTGCAGGTCTGTCCAGATAAGATAGGTAGGATAAACAATCTGGAAGAGAAAACAATGGGACCAATGGAGGTAGGCGAAAGGAAGTGGGTGTGAACAACCCCAGGAACAAGGGAACAATAAGTGATCCAAAATTGATGGTGAGGAGCATGTAGGAGGCCTGGTAGGGCTTGATCAAGGGTGTGTTAGTGTGGGTAGACTAGAGAAACAAATCCATGGACACACATATGTGTATAAGAAAGAGATTTATACACAAGAGTAATTGAACATTGAGAAAACATCCCAACCCAATCCAGTCCAAGGCCTTCTGTCCAATATTAGCCCTTATGTCCAATACCAATATAAAGTCCTCTTCAGACTCATGAAACACTTGCAATGAAGCCAAATACAGGACGATCACAAGCCAGTGAGTAGAAAATCTTTGAGTCCAGTGTCATTGGAAATATCTCAGTGTTGGCAGCGGTCTCTCTGTGGCTTCTCTGACTTCCAAGGTCTGGTTGTGTCCATGTGGCTTGTCTTCTGCAATGTCTCCCAGGGAATAGCCAAGAGAGAGAGGGGTCTTCCAGATTTCCCAGAATTCTCAGGAAAAGGCCAGGCTCACACAGAAGTCTCACTGTCTATCTCCAGATTGACAGCCTAGACTCCACCCCTACACTCTTAATCCTTAAATTGACACCAGATTAAGTGACTACCACAAAGGGCAATGTAAGCGAGATGAATTACTGAAATCCAAATGAAGGCTGAACATGATAATGGGACAAGAAGAAAGTAAAAGGAAATAGAGGAAGGGACTAGGAGGCAAAGGTCATTTATACAGGTCTAGATACTGACATGTACATATGTAAATAGATTTATATATGGTGATGGGGAAATAGATCTATGTGCATTTATTTATAGGTTTACTATCAAGGTAGCAGATTGTGCCCGGCTATCAAAAGATGTAGCATCTGGGGTCTTAAAGCTTGAAGGTAAAGAAGCAACCATCTAGCTGAGAAGCAACAAAACCCACATGGAAGAAGCACACCAGCCTGTGTGATCATGGGGTGCCGATGGGAATCAGGTATCAGGCATTAAAGAACAAAAAATCATAGCATCGTGATTGACGAGGAGTGTGGAGTGGAGACCCAAAGCCAAACTACAAGCAACCGGACATCCCCTTACTGAAGGGTTGTGGGGAAGAGAGGAGCCAGTCAGGGTGCAGTATAGCACCAATGAAACATACAACTTTCCTCTAGTTCTTTAATGTTTCCTCCCCCACTCCACTATCATGATCCCAATTCTACCACAGGTAGTCCTGCACTCTTACCAATCACACAGAGAAAGAGCTCAGGACCCCTCAGTGACCTGGGAGCACGGTACCCAATTCTTCCAAAATGACTTGCAGACAGCGCCATACCTCAACACCCTCAACAAGAAAAACAAAACACAACAGGGGAGGAAGTTGTAAACCTAATGACGCTCATGGAAAAATCATACGTTGATTTGGCAGAAAAAAGAAATCTTCAGAATGCTGCTTAGAGTAATACAGGATATGTGGGAAGTAACACAGAATAAGGATGTTGCTCACATAAGAATATGGTCAGACCTATCAGTAGATACCACGAAGAGAAGAGGATGGAGTAACATCTTCCAAAAGCTGAAAGAAAAAAATGCCAACTCAGGCCTCCTCTACCTGCCAAACTATCACTAACATAGAAGATGAGAGAAGAGTCTTCCTGGAAAAGGAAAAACTCAAAGAATGTGCTATAACACACCCAAACCTGTGGAAAATTCTTGCCGACTCTTTGTGGTCAGAAGATGAACTCCACCAAGCAGAAGCCAAGGGGCACCACATAGTGCAACTCCACCCAGAAGTCAATGAGCCAAAGACAACTAGCAAGATAACATTGCCTCAGAGGGAAAAGAGGGCAAGAATGAAGCCACCCACATAAACACAGCACACTGATATGAAAGGAGACTGGAAAACACCCAACACAAAAGGTATGAGATGACAGCAAGGAACCCACAGATGGTGGTATTAACTCTGAATGTCAATGGCCTAAACTTGCCTGTTAAAAGAAAAAGGTTAGTAGACTGGCTCAGACAACCTAACTCATCAATCTGTTGCCTATAAGAGACACATCTTAAACTCACAGACAAAAATAGACTAAGTATAAAAGGCTGGAGCGGAAAAAAATACAAGCAAACAGCAACTTAAAGAAAGCAGGGATTGCTTCCTAATCGCCAACAAAATTGACTTCAAGGTGCAAACCATAACAAAAGACAAGGATGGACAGTATGTAATGCTCAAAGGATCAGTAAACCAGGAACCAGTGAGGGATCAGGACAAACCTAAGAACCTTGGCTCAGGTAATACATAGGCTAACTGTAATAGAAAAGGGTACACACACAGAATAACCTGAAATTGACAAATGAGATATACTAAGGGTAAGACATCTGTGTGCATCAAAAGACTTCACCAAGAGAGTAACAAGAGAACCCATAGACTGGGAAGAGATTTTTAGCAATGACACACAGACAAAGGACTTATTACTAAAATATACAATACCCTCCTAGCCTGCAAAAAGAGGAAAACAGTTAACCCCTGAGGAAGTGGGGAAAAGACCTGAACAGAAGTTTCACTAGGGAGGAGACCTGAGTGACCAATAAACATATGAGAAAATATTCCCAATCATTAGCCATCAGAGAAATGCAAATTAAAACAACTATTGGATACTAGCTAACATCCTTGAGGATAATCCAAATTAGAATATCAGAAAGCAA